GATCAAACTGAAATAACTGAAAATCTCTGACTGGTTCAAGAGGTCAGCCTCACTCAAAACCCTTAGAAACTAATATCCCTGCGCCGTTGCCAGTGCTGTTCAATGAGGCTGGGTCACGGGAGGCTTCGACAGCACCTCTCCACATTGAGACGAGTCCTGGAGCACTGAAGTGACGAGTCCTACAACAAAAATATTTGAAAAATGTTGCACACTCGTAGCACAGTTGTGAACTGTGGCTGCTCGAGTCTTTGATGTGCCATCCAACTCTAAAATACACTGTTACAAGCTCAGCCTTCTTCAAAGTCTTCTTTGCTTTTTTGCTCCTTTCTGCCAGTTCCAGCTGCTTTGACATGAGTTAAAACTGAGTGAAGAATTCAGGTGAGAAACCTGAAAGAAACTGCAGCTAATTCATGAAACGAGCCACTACCTTATAAGCTAAAAGGTAGTTATAGCAGCATGAAAAGCACAAAGAACCCACCATAAAGTGGGACATTGAGCCGCTGGTGTTTTGTGCACCAATCACTGTTCTGTTTAGAATTCACTGCAAGTAATCAGCATTAAAAAAACACCCCTTTCATTCTCTTTGACTTGGAGGCCTAATGGCTTTTTTTTTAGTATCGACTTTGTGTCCTAAACAGCACAAACATCATTAACCCAATCCATTGTTATTCTAATCTCTCTGTCAGTGGCCTTGGAGGCAGAGCTCTCATCTGGCTGAAACAGTTTCCTCATTGTGAGCCTGTAGGGTGGTCCAACCTGACGTCTCCAAACCGCATCCTCCTGCCTCTCCTTATGCGGTCCTAGTTACACCTCTCCATCTCGCCTCCCACCAAGTCTTTCCCCCTCACTCGACACAAAAACCCCTCACTGGCCGTCGTTTGTTGACCTCTCTGGCATGGCGGCAGTTTGCCCTTAAAAAAAGTCCTGAAACACTGCCCTTTCAGCTTGTTTAGGAGCAGGACACTGGTGGACTCTTGTCCACTCCCCACCCCCATAACAGACAGGAAGAGCCACTGCCATCTCCTCCACGACTTGAGCAGGTGCAAAGACAAGGCTCAATGACATCTTTGTACCAAATGGAAGAGGTCTGGGGTTTTAACAGTGGCCCAGGCTGGGCACCACCTCCCCTCTGTCTGCCTGTGGGGGAACTTGAATGAGAGAAGTCAGCGGTGACAGGCTGTGGAGGGGGAACTCATAAATCCTGGAGTGACACAAGCACCAAAGGTAGTTGGTTTTTGGCTTCCGCAGCTGCCCGTCATGTTCCTTGTATCACTGCTGCTTTGGAGTTTTACTGGCTGTAGTAACTCATGTTGGCCCAGTGCTGCCTCTGAGCCCAGTACAATAGAAACTCTCAATAGCAAGTCCTGTGTTGTAACTGTGACTTAACTACCGCATGAACTATTCTTTAGTCCAGCATCTCTGAAAAAACTGCTCGGCAGTTCACATAAAATTTTGTTAATTAAACGAGCAAGTTTTGAATGTGCTGCTACAATGGTAAGAGAGTGGTTTCCAGTGTTTACTGGGAGCTTTAGTTGCAAATGTGTGTATTTCCTCCTCTACCCACACATTGCTATCAGATGTGACAGATTTGCAGCCTGCTAGCCTCTTGCCATAATCACAGATTTCAACCTGTCTTAATTTTTCTGCTTCCAAAGATGCTGAAGCTAAAATGTGAGGGTGGACAAATATTAACAGGTTTATTAATAAAAAAAATATAGTTAAAGCCTGCAGTGAGTCCATAAAACCACTGCTGGACTGGACGGAACCAAAACCCTAACGCGGTTGATGCTCTCTTAGACACCAAGGCCAGTTTGTGTTAAATGATGTGCATGTGGTGTCAAATTGCTGAGGATGCCTTTGTAATTTGTTTGTGCATCATCTTTTTTTCCCCCTTAAACTCCAGTGTTGAGCTTTCAGGGCCAAAATACAGATTAGTGCATCGGTATGGGTCAGGGAGCTGTGGAAAGGAAAGAAGCGGCTGCCTCTGGGCTGAAGAAGATCTAACTCTGGCTTGCAGTGGTGGGAAGTAACTAAGTATGTTTACTCATGTTCTGTACTTAAGAACAATTTTGAGGTATCTGTACTTTACTTGAGTATTTTCATTTTGTGTTACTTCCTACTTTGACTTGATTACATTTTAGTGGCCAATATACTTTTTACTCACTACCTTTATAACTTTAGTTATTAGTTACTTTTCAGAACTAGATGAATAGAAAAATTATAGCATAATCATTAGACTTTATTGAACTCCAGTGGAAAATTCACAAGCTACCCATCAGTACTTCAACTTATAAGCATTTAAGCTAGCTGAAACACGCTCCACCTGTATCTTAATTATTAAACTGCCACTGTTTGATTATGCTTTGACACGCAAAATGCATTTTGCTGTTACAATTTTGAGACAGGAAGTCTGGATCCAGCTTGTGGCTTTTATTTTGATGTCATAATTGTTTATCCTTTAGATAACAATCTATAATTGAATGCACAGTGCCAGCCATTTTTGATTCTAATGGTGAGATAAACTCTCTTTGGCAATAAGCTAAATTCAGGTTCTTGCCAAATACCAAAATGCAGCTGATGGCCCAGGAACAGGCCACACAGCTGGCGATGAAAACTGAAGAACTGGGTAGTAAAAGCTGAATCTGACTGAAATGATTGATAACACGGTAAATGAAAATGACCGGTCAGCATATCCATTTGAGACCTTGTGTGTGATCACCGTGTAACCCTCTATACTATGACATTACTGCAGTTTTGTGATGATCGAGTTGATTCTGAGCCTAATGATCAGCCACAATAAACCATCCTCTCGCTTCCAACATGTGGAGAATGTGAGGTTTTATTATTTCTGGAGCCAGTCCCATGGCCTGAGCCTTTGCAGCCCACCCTGGATTTCGTGGAGCTCTCAGGCACTGACCTCTGGAACAATGTGGGGTGCTGTGCTGGTTATGAGGGCCGGCTGCCCCCACCTGCTTGCAGCCTTACTGGCCTGGCCAAGGGCCACAAAGCCTGTTGGAACTCTGAATCTGGTCAACTTGGTTTTGCTACAAGATTTGAGTCTGAAAAGCAATTAAGTTGAACAGCTATAAGATAGTCCAGTCCAGAACTACTACTAATACTCGTTTACTGTGAGTGATGCCATCACTAGCTGCTTTTTAATAAATGTCAAGAATCAAATTGAAGATCATATACGATTTCACCTGTGTGTGGCCTTTATGTACCATTTACATCATATACACACACACACACACACACACACACACACACACACACACACAGACAGACAGGTGGGACAGCCACCTGGAGCAACTTCAGGTTCACCATCTTGCTCAAGGACACACTGACACAGACTGGAGAAGCCGGTGATCAACCTGCCAACCCTCCTGAGCCACAGTCACTCAGCTGTCAGCTCATACATACTACACTGACAAGCAAGCATTTTCATGAGCCGTCAGCTGCCTGTACTTATACTACACTTGCTTTTTGTGATTCTTGTTTTTTGACCCTCATTTACATGAAGCCTTCTCTATAAAGTCTTGACCAAGTCTTAACCCTTAATCAGCCCAACTTGAATGCATCTTTTCAAAAACGTCCACATTTTCCAAAAACCTCACCACTTTCCCAACTGTCTTCATTTTCCAAGAATGTCCTCATTGTTAAGGTATAACAGTCAAATTTGTCCTCAGGAAGAAGGAGAAACAAGCGCACGCACACACACACACACACACGCACACACACCAGCTTCATGCACTGTAGATGACACGGTGTTGTGTGAATCTGCTGTGCCCCACCTGCCTCAGCTGTAACAGGGGTACGTGCATGAACAGTGGTACAGCAGACCGCGATACAGCACAATGCTGACACAGAGACGACAGGAGATAAACACCTTTACAGCTTGTTAAAAAATAATTACTCAGTGTTCTTTTGTTCCTTTCTGCAGCTGCTCTTATATCATTGGCTACTGGCTCAGAGTCACACTGTCAATCATGACAAAACAGAACTATTAATGACACACACAGTAATAGTCTGGACTCTGAGGCTTTGGGTTGACACCCCCCCCCGTTACGTCTGCATTTAGTGATTTCACTTTTTGAACTAGATCAGGGAAATAGAACTTCAAATGTAAACATCCCTGCATTTCTGTGCAAAGCACAAACCCAGACTACACATTAAAAATGCTAAAGTTCACAGAGCAAACAAAACAATTAGAACATTAAACCAGGGTAGGCAAGTTGAATGAGTTTAATCTATTATACACAAATTAATAAAGCAAAAATACAAAGAAGCACTGATCATAATCATTTAATATGCTTAACAGGAGAAAATTAAGAATGGCTCTTATAAATATAGTGCATTTTATATTTACAACTTGTAGATTCTAATCGTGACATGAAGAAACTACACCACTTGTCTTTTGATTTAAAACTTGGTTTAATTTACAGGTCTGTAAATTCCAATTTATTTCTAAATCATTTCCTAAGAAGTTTCCTGGAGAGCACCGTATAATTTGGTACTAAGTTTGGTACTCAGTTCGTGCACTTCCGGCTGTATCTCAATGCTAAGCTAGCACAAACCCAAGGCTATTTTCAGAGGACAGAAGGTGAACCACACATGTGAAATGTTACATTTGTGCACAAGCAGCCATCCAATTCAGCATAAATGAAAAATACAATTTCATATGATTAATAAACAAACACTAAATTTGAACTGAGATTTACACTGAGCAGTTTTGTTCATGAAAATTCATCTGGAAACTGAAAATTCTTACAAATTGTTTTATATTGGAAATGGGACATCAAACATCACAACCTGTTAGACTCAAAGCCCCAGTATCAAACATTATACACCCATAAAAATATGAAAGATTTTAGTCTTAACTTGTTTCTCCACTATAAATTCCCTCCTTTTATACAACGCTGTCTTTTGTTGTGTGTGCCGACACTACACCAACAGGATAAATCATATTCACCCAAACAGTGGTAAGCTCTCTCCTTTTATCCTGTTGTTTCATCATCTCACTTATGTCTTCTTTTTTTGTTGTCATCTTTGCTGGAGAACAGAGAGGCACCCAAAACGGCTAAGGCCACACCTGCTATAGCTACACCTCCAATCACAGCGGCTGTTTTAACCTGCAAAAGACAAATGAGAGACAGGCTGACACTCAGGATCTATTTTAATTTGGATTTGATTCACATATAATCTGCAAAATCTGGAAAAGGATTAGTGCAGTTTGCGTTGCCAAACAACCTCACAGCATTGTTTATTAATGGAAGTAGTTCCCTACTGTCATATGACCTGGCAACACAGTGAACATTTATTAGTAATGAACAGCTGTTTCTACCTGCATCCAGTCTTAATGCTGAGCTAAGCTGACCTGCTGCAGGCTCCAGCCCCTAGTGAGAGTGTGACATGCATATAATGCCTTGCAAAAGTGTTGAACCCTCTTGTTAAATCACCCATTTCATTGTATATCAATTACTACATTTATATTTTCATTTACAACAATAAAAATTTAATTGAATTACTTGCAGGCTAAGCAACATGAGTTTTACACCACAAGGTTTTCAGTTTCTAATGATGGAACATAATATGCTGCTTGCAAAAGTATTCAACCATCTTCATTTTGGTTGACTTCAATTCATTGAGGTACACAATGTTACTTTCTCACCTCACTCATGCAGTCTGTCTCGCTTTCTGCTGACGCCATCCTGCTCTCGCCGCTTCTCTGCCTCTCCATAATCTGTCTCTCCATCAGTTGCTGCTTCTCCATCGTCTTTCTCTCCACCATTTTGCTCTGTCAAGCAAAAGGCAAACAATACAACAACAGAGATTTTATAGTTTAGTAACAGGTACTCTATAAATGCTGTGGGGGCGACTGTGTCTCAGTGGGTAGAGCAGTCGTCTCCCAACCAGAGGGTCAGAGGTTTGAATCTCGGCGCCTGCAGTCCACATGTCAAAGTGTCTTTGGACAAGATACTGAACCCCCAAGTTGCCCCCGATGGTTAGAGCCATCGGTTGAGGTGACGCCGCAGATGGCTGCCTCAGTTCTGTACCGGAAACAAATTCCTTGTGCGTAACATGGCCAAATAAAGGTGATTGATTAATTATTATAACACCCATCAGGTAGGCTAACATCAGTTTGTCCTTACTCTCTGAACCTGGCTATTTTATTAAAGAAAAAAAAAAATCACAAGAATACTTTTACTGTAATTGAGCACACACAAGTACAACGTGCAGTTTCTGAAACAGTTCATTCATTCTGGCATCCACAACAGGCAAAATCATACAAGTAAAAGCAAGCAAACAAACAAAAGGCTGCTATAAATAAGTAACAACAACAAAACACTGAATTTCAGGTTCGCTGCCACATATCTCTCTATGAAAGGATGTGCATTTCTAATGAAATAAGGTTTGTACCAGTGCTACAATTCACTGTCCATAAATGTCCTGGTAATGTACAAAGTCCAATTCTATCAAAACAAGAAACTCTGACTACTTTAAAGTGTAAAGTGTAAAGTGCAGTGCTTTAAAGGATGGGACTGCTGTTTCATCTCCACTTTAAAATAATGACGTGCATCAGTTAGCTCATTATTTGCCAAGTGTGGAAGCAGACTAGCTCAATGGAAGTGACAACTGGGGGGCAAGAGGTGGTGAATGACACCACATGAAAAGGGTCTTTTCACCGTTACCTATTTCTTCTTCCTTTTAGCTTTGACTGTTGTGGCAGTCTACCAATGTTAAAGACGCTGCCACCAGCTGCTGTAATGTGTAACATCATGATTTTACACTGGCAATTAAACCTGCAATAAAGCCAGTTCTTTAAACCTGTAAATGTTTATCCTGTCTCAAGTCAGCAACATCTAATGTTGACACATTTGCAAAATGATGAGATTTATGTAGATGTGACTTTTGAGCTTCAAAAAGAGTCTAAAATTACACATGGTGGCTCCTAGAGTGGTGTCTGTCTTCTGATCTAACCTTTGGCAAGAAAGCAAACAAGTGTCTCAGCGTATCACACTCAGCTACATGTAGATATACAGGCAAAACAAGCCCCAGTATAAAGCACCCCTACATACAGTTGACTCTAAAGAGCCGGCTGAAGGGAACGTGGGGTCCTCTGATTTAGTATCGTGGCTGTACGATGGCTGCTTCCGCATTCTGGATAATTATTTTATAGCTACAACACAGGGGTGATGACAACCGCACTAGGTGGGTTTTTTTAAACTAAAATCCACCTGTTAAACATCCTCTATTGTGTGAAACACAGGCAATCACTATTTATTCAGCTCTGCATTTGCTTCTTATCAGTAATAATATATCGTGTCAGATCTGTGTATTGTTACAATGAATAAGACACTATTATGGCAAACTCATCTAGTACCCAGGTACAGACACACAGCAGGCTGTGGATCACTCTGATAAAGCGATTTCCCACTGATACATCAATAAAATATGTTAGGACTGCATCTTAATGCATTACACAAGATTTGTCATGATGTATAGACGTGGTTCATATGATACTATGGGCTGGGGAAACTAAACTGAAATAAATCTAAAACAAAACCTGTTCATAATGGAGATGTAAAAACCACTGATATTAAATTATACTATATACTTTCCTCTTCATAACAGTCTCCATCGTTAGTAGCTCCCATACATGCAGAGGGCAACACACAAATTATACATACAAAAACTCTTGAGTCATTCTGAACATTTCCTGCTG